CCTTGTTTCTTATCTAAATTTAAACTGAAAAATTTAAAAAAAGAAAACACAAATTGAAGTAATTCAGGAAATGGAAAATCTGGGTGAGCAAATAGGACCTACAGACCTAAGGATCTCCAACAGAATAAAAGAGTTGGAAGAGAGACTCTGAGATGCAATAAAATAAATAGATTCACTGGGCTAAGAAAATGTTAAATCTAATAAACAAAAAAAATCTCAGCACAAAATTTCCTGGAGTCTGGGACACGATGAAAAGACCAAATCTAACAATAATATAAATACAAGGAGAGGAATCTCAACATAAAAACCCAGGAACTGTATTTAACAAAATCACAGAAGAAAAATTATCTAACTGACAGGACATGCCTATAAAAGTACTAGAAATTTACATAACATCAACATATTAGATCAGAAGAGAAAGTCGCTGCATAACATAATATTCAAAGCATTAAACTTACAGAAAAAATAAGGACTATTAAAAGCTGCAAGGGAAAATGACACTAACACAGACTGCAGACCTATAGGAATTGTATCTCACTTCTTAATGGAGACTCTCAAGGTCAGAAGGACATGGATAGATATCTGGTTGACAGAGACCACAGATGCCAGTCCAGAATAATATATTATGCAAAACTTTTATTCACTATAGATAGAGATAACAAGATATATCAAGATATATCATGAGAAAATCAAATTTACTACCTATCCACAAAGCCCATCCTACTAAAGGTTCTAGAAGGAAAACTCTAACCCAAGCAAGTTAACTGCACCCAAGAAAACACAGGCAATAGATAATCTTTTTGGGTGTAATTTCGAGACAGGGTTTCTCTGTAGTGTTCTGGAACACGCTCTGTAGATCAGGCTGGTCTCAAACTCACAGAGATCAACCTGCCTCTGCCTCCTGAGTTCTGGGATTAAAGGCATGCACCACCATCAGCGAACCACAAAAGTGAACACACACACACACACACAACACACACACACACACATACACACACACACACACACACACTAAAACCACCATTTTTATGTGTCCAGGGTCACATAAAAATGTCTTGGGTAAAAAAGGACATACTGGAAAAAGATTAAGAAGCCTTGTATTAAATGATAAAATGGAAGCCGGGCGCGGTGGTGCACGCCTGTAGTCCCAGCTACTCGGGAGGCTGAGACAGGAGGATCGCTTGAGTCCAGGAGTTCTGGGCTGTAGTGCGCTATGCCGATCGGGTGTCCGCACTAAGTTTGGCATCAATATGTGACGTCCGGGAGCGGGGGGGGGGCACCAGGTTGCCTAAGGAGGGGTGTACCGGCCCAGGTCGGGAAACAGAGCAGGTCAAAACTCCCGTGCCGATCGGTGGTATAGTCTTAACGCTATCTATTGTAGAGGGGGAGCAGTGACCAGCAAAGGGGTCAAGACCATGCTTGGGAAACCCACAGAAACAACTGACCTGTGCAAGTGGGAGTTCACAGATTCCAGACGACAATGGGGAGCCTACATTAAGACCAAACTAGGTCTCCTAATTATGGGTGTCAGTTGGGGGGCCTGGGCACTCTAAGGAGCCTCTGGCAGTGGAACCAGTGTTTATCCCTAGTGCGTGAATGGGCTTTGGGAGCCCCTTCTCTATGGATGGATATTCTCTCAGCCTAGATGCAAGGGGGAGGACCTAGGTCTGCCCCAAATGATATGACAGACTTTGATGCTCCCCCATGGGAGGCCTCACCCTCCCTGAGGTGTGGATGGGGTGGTGGGATGGAGAGATGGTGGGGGGAATGGCAGGATGGGAGGGAGAGGAACTGGAATTGGTATGTAAATTATTTTTAATTTAAATAAAAATTAATTACAAAAGGAAATGTAGGAACTTATACAAAGTCCTTGAGAAACCATCTTTTTTTTCATGCCAGGAACATGGAGCATCTTTGTTTCTTTTCCTGTTAATGTGATAACAAATGGTGGGAAAGCAACTGATTTGAAAGCATTTTATTGCAGTTTTGTTTTTGCATTTGTTTGTTATTGTGGTTGTTTTCATTCTTGTCCCATACATTACATCCCAACTAGAGTTTTCTCCTCCGTCCAACCCCCATCCCAAACCCATTGTCCATTTCCCTTAAAAAAAAAGAGTAGGCCTCCCAGTGATATCAACGGGACATGGCACAGCGAATTACGACTATGCATAAACTCTCACATCAAGGCTGAATGGGGCTCAATGGGCTCTCAGCTGAAGAACACAGTGCACTATGGAAGAAAGTTCTAGGGGCAGGAGCTGGAAGATGCTGCTGACAATAAACCCCCATTCCAGAAGCAGAAAACACGCCATGGCCGTGCTCCCAAGGCTCCCTGGGTTTTGTGCCATGTAATGAACAAGCCCCGAAAAGGGAACTGCATGGTTTTAGGGTATATCAGCTGCACCCCATGGAAACTATATTGAGATTTCCATCTGGAAACAAATTTGTGTTTGACTTTGGTTCTTATGACAATGCTAAATGCACCCTATTCCTTCCTAGAATATCACACAAAGAACACTTGGCTTAGTTCCTGATCAGGTCCATGATTTTGTTTGTTTGTTTTATGAGCTTGACCTCCATCATCTCTCTGCATTCTTGTTTTCCAAGCTCACAAGAGAATAGTCAATGAATTTCTGCTCCCGACATGCTAGGACTTTACTTACCCCAGATCTCCACATTCTCTTTTACAATAGACAAAATTAGTCCCAGGGAGCCAAGATTCATTTCATTAGGTTTATCGAAACAGCAGTGTCAGTCTTGGTGTGAAATTTCTGTCACAGCTGTGGCCATAGAATACTCCAGCATGTTACTTAAATGAACATTGATTTATGTGACTACATATGAGAACAGAGGACATCAGCATGGGGGAAATTCTGTTGGCAGGAGATGATGGGGCTGATCAAGCTGGTTATTCAGGTTACTCAGGTCAGAAGCAGAGAACACCGAATGTTGACACTCAGCGAGCTTTCTCCTTGTATGCATTCCAGGACAAGGCTTGGTGCATTCCATGGTCAAGGCTTGGTGCAGACCAGTTGGGGTGTGGTTCTTCACACATCAACTTAATCCATGTTTTCCTCAGTTGTTCTTGGAGTCTTGTCTCAGAGATGATTCCAGGTATAATTGAATCAAAAATAAATGATAATGACCCACAGGTTGAAATTAACAATTAAAAATTTGAGAAAATATCCTAGGGCATGAAGAGATGGTTCAGTGTCTAGAGGACTTGAGCATGATTACTTGAGTTCAGATCACCAGATCTTCCAGACAAAACAAATAACAGTAGAAATGAGGACGTTGTGGCTCAAGCATCTCCAAGCCAGAATCATGTCCCCAGTGGTAGCAGGTAGAGGGATCACCACACACTGCGAGTCAGTTAGCCAGAGAATAAAAGAGAACCTGTCTCAGGTAAGAAGTGAGGCAACAACTAAATATGGATGCTATCCACTTACATAATTAGGCTCAAACCTCCTCCACATGTGACCCCCCAGACCTGCATACACACACATCATGTATGTCAAAGCCACACCCTCAAATGAGCACATGTACATGCACACACATGAAGACATGTGTTATGTCTCTCTTTATGAAACCAGGTCTTTATCTCAACATGGTGAATGCCTTGCCTAAGTACTCATTGTCTTCCTAGAAAGTTTCTAAGAGAAAAATTTTCAGATATTTTAATTCCTAGATAAAACATACAGTAAAGAAACTATATTATCAGTTTGCTGCATTACTTAAATTTCTCCTCCTTGTCTTTCTCCCCCTCCTCTTCTTTCTTTCTTTTTTTTTGAGATAGAGTATCCCTTAGTACACCTGGCTTTTCTAGAAATAGCCCTGTAGACCAGGCCTTGAACTCAGAGGTCTGCCTGCCTTTTCCTCTGCCTCCCAAGTGTTAAGATTAAAGGCTTGTGTCACCATGCCTGGCTATTTCTTTTTTTCCTTAAAAATGTATTAATAGAAGATATTGCAGTTTAACCTCCTCCAACTCTTACTAGATCCTCCCCACCTCCTGACCTGCTTAACTCCATGCCCCACCCCCATGTGAGTGGTATAAAATCCCAAAAGTTCATGTGATTCTATAGCATTCATCAAAACACACTATTATAGACATGAAAAATGAAGAAATTGACTGCCAAGAATTAAGAAGATAGCTGTTATGGATTGGCAATTATGGCTATGATTGTAGAAGTAGAAATGTCCTAATCTTAATTCTATTGGTTTTTTTTTTTTTTGGTTTTACGAGACAGGGTTTCTCTGTATTGTTTTGGAGGCTGTCGGTCCAGCCTGGCCTCAAACTCACAGAGATCCGCCTGCCTCTGCCTCCCGGGTGCTGGGATTAAAGGCGTGCGCCACCACTGCCCAGCAATTCTATTGGTTTTTAATTAACAACTTTCCCCTCCTACCTTGGACACGATTACTGCCCCAATGGCTAATATGCTGTCAGCTTGGTCCCCATGTGGCAATATTGAGACGTGGTTGTACTTGTAAGAATCAGGGCCTATATATAGTGCTGCGGCCCTGGAAGTGGGTCTGCTGCTCTCTGCAGGAATTTTACCTATAACCTGCTCAAGTCCTGCAGAAGGATTTTTTTTCAGAGAGCAAGACTAGTCCAGTTACTCTGGCTTCCTGCCTCAACATATCTCTCTCAAATATTCTCCCAAAATGTCATTTACTGTGGTGTGGCTTCAACAATTTGCCCCTGACCTGAGTCCATGTTCATGAGACAGTATGTTGCCTCTTGTCCTTTGACCACTAAAACAGTTAAAGACGGACCGCAATCCAGTGTGTAGGGTTATGAGAGTGCATTAGAGTGCTTGGGATACAGGATATAGTAATGTGAATCTAAAAATATCTCAAACATAATTTTAAAAGCTAACATACAGGTGGATAGTAAATATGTCATTTTGTCAGTTATGACATGAGCCTTTCAGGCTTGATATCACAATGGTCAGTCACCCTGACTAATGTAGCATCCTTAGGTCTCAGTGGTTAGTCTGCCAGATGTTCTGGCTGCTTTGGTTTCTAGTGCCAAGGATGAAGAGAAGTTTAGTCTACTGAAAGGCTCTCCATTCAAGGGTACACTGGAAAGGTATTCTCTTAAGAACTCGTTCTGATCCTTATGATAGATGGGTGGGCTTGAATTATTCTGTCTTGTTTTCTCCAGATCATGTGAACTTGTTCTACACTCAGCACAGCCCTCGTGAGAAACGAATCATTTTATGAAGTTCAGTGCTGATCCCCTCAGAAAGGAGATATCACGGTGTCAGGGGACAGAGGTCCTGGGACACGTGGGACAAAAGTGCTTGTAAATGAACATGCCTGTCCAAGTTAGGAAGGAGGATTTATGTTTTGCTGAACTTGGTCATTTTGCCCAGTGTGAGCATGAAGGCCAACTGAGTAGCGGTAGGACCTCAACCAAACATCTAAGAACTTTCTGGTTCTCAGAAATTTTTTAGTGTTTCTACATTTATTGTTGCTAACACCAGTTTTACAAAATTGAACTCTGTTTTACCTAAGAAAGGAATGGCTTGAATTTACATGAAACCAAGTCTGAATTACTTTGGCCTTCAGTCAAATTAGACAGCTGTTGCTTTCCAGACATATGAACATCGCTATGACAAATATAGGGGTACAGCTGGCGATGCGAGTTACAGGGTGTGAAGGAGTATCTCAGGTCAGACCCAGATTCCTCCTGAGTTTGTGTCTGAAGTCGGGGCATTTCAGCATTATGGACTTACCCTCCACCGCTGAGAGGAAAGCAAGCCACAGAGAAACAGCCTGTATTGTTTCTGTAGTCATTTGTTTACTCCGAACATCACAAGGAGAAGAGGTTTTCAATGCATGGCCTTAAGCTTTTTGTGTGATATCTTGCTTGTAATTCTTTGGGTGAGCACTATCACCCCAGCTGGTGTAACCACACAGGAATAAGTACACACACAAATGTGCACTGTATGTTTAGGTAAACATAAGCTAAGTTGATTCCTTGAGGGTTAATCAGACTTTCTATTTGTCTCTCAGCCCTTCCTCTGCTTCTGTAGTGACCGTGGAATCAGAGCCTCCCTCTCCATGCTTCCCACTTTCTCCTTCAGATCACCTGCTTCCTGCTGGTCCCCTTCACAGTCCCTGCCCCCATGGTCCCTTTTTACTTCTGCTCTTTTCTCAGTTACTCCATGTTGTATATTCATTTTTGAGGATTTTGAGCTAAGAACTGCAGACGAGAGAGAACATGTGCTGTTTGTCTTTCTGTGTCTCTGTTACCTCATACTATATATTTTTGGATTTCCATACATGTAACTGCAAAGTTCATGACTCTGTTGTTCTTTACAACTGAACAGTATTCTTTTGTGTGCATGTACCGCAATTTTATTGTCCATTCATCTGTTGAAGGATATTCTGGTTGCTCTATGTTCCAAATGCTGTGAACAGAGCAACAGTGAACATGGCTCAGCAGGTGTCTGTGGAGTAGAGTTGAAGTTCTTTGTGCATATGCCGAGGAGTTGGCCAGCTGGGCCATATGGCAGATTTCTCTAAGTGAGGACTCTCCAGACTGATTGTCCGGGTGGCTTCTTAAGTTTTTATATCCGCTAACAATGAGTTTTCCTGGTTCCCCACACTTTTGTGTGTGATGGCCTTTGTTTTGTTGACCTTAGCCATTCTGAGTGGGGTGAGATGAAATCACAAACTTGTTTTTGATTGGCACTCTGGGAACTGATAAGGAAGATGAGCACTTGTTGAGATATTTCCTAGTCAAAACTGTCTTATTTGAGTCTTTCTTGAAGATTGTATCACAGTGACTTTCATGAACATATATTTATGAAAACATATAAATAAAAATCAACATATACATATATGCACGTATATACTAACATACATGTATCTCAGCAAGTCCAATTGAAAAAGACAGAGAATGAAAACTATGATTTAGTTATATTTAGAAAACTGAGTCTATGGCACTCTTCACATTTCTCATAAACTTTATTCTGCTGACCCCTGATTATCCTACTGACCTCTTGACTATTGGCCTCTATCCTGTTGACCTCTGACTATCCTGTTGACCTCTGGCTATCGTGGTGACCTCTGACTATCCTACTGACCTCTGGCTATCTTATTGACCTGTGGCTATCCTATTGACCTCTGACAATCTTGGTGACCTCTGACTATCCTGGTGACCTCTGACTATCCTATTGACCTCTCTCCTGTTGACCTCTGACTATCCTATTGCCCTCTTCCCTGTTTACCTCTGACTATCCTGTTGACCTCTGGCTATCTATCGTAGTGACCTCTGACTATCCTGCTGATTTTTGTTCTGTTAGTGTTTGCCCTGTCACAGGAGAAGCCTATTTACTGAGATGGAAATTCTAAATGGGAAAGTCACAGATGCGAAAATCAAGAATCAACCCCTGATGTTCCATGGAGAAGTGGAACTCAGAAGAGGCGGTATCAGTAAGAAGTGTCACCTCTACCTGTACAGAGATTTCTTGGTTGTGACGAATAGTCGGTATGCTTTACTTTCAGACTCCTAATTACCAGAAGTCACAGTGTGTCACTCTTACCGTGGGACAATCCAAGGGAATTTGCCCTTATGATTTTGCAAAGGTTTTGATTCCTTATTTATTTAACAATCCATGGAGCCCTTGTTTTGTCCAATGCCCTAGTAGAAAATAAAATTATGAATCTATACTAACAGCCATGCTTGTTTGCACATTCCAATAACACAAACATTTTGGGATGTTATTAGCATAACCAACTATAGATCTGGCTATTAAGGAGGGAAGAAATAAATGGCAACCTGGGGGGGGAATGTTTGAGAATAAAATTCTGTTGTGGTACATTATTCATACTTCCAAGATAGCTTGTAGATTTAAAAATCCCTTAACATGTTCATGGAATTGATCCACACACTCCAACTATAAAAAAGCAATCCCAGTGCAAAGAATGCTGGCCCTTGGAAAGAGGAAGCCCACACTGGATGGAGGAGAGACTTGTTCCCCAGAGCTGTGCTCCCACAAGGATGCTGAGAACATGAAGAGTTGGGGAGGCCCAGCAGTTCTGAGCTGTGGTTGGCTATTACACTTCCTGGATCCAAACCCTGTCTCTGTTGCTTTCGGCTATTAGCCATTCTGACCCTTCCTCACGCATGGAGTGGGGTCAATAGAGATTATCTGATGCTGTTGAGGTTAAATTGAACAGCAATAGTTTTTTAGGTTTCTTAGAAAATGGCAGTTAGCTATCCATCATGTCACAGCAGAATGGGTAATGTGTTCTTTAAATTCAACTGTTGACTTGGGTTTAAGGAAGTGTGAAACCTGAATTCATTGAAATAAGACCAAATTATTGAAATGAATGTTTCCTCTCTGTACATATGAGAATGAATAGTTAAAACAGTATGTTTCAAATACATTGTATAATCTATACTCAATGCAGATGTGGAAAGGGTACTGTCAGAGCCTCCCAGAGGCACACTGCCCTCAGTGAGGCTTTACTGGATTCCATCTGCCCACTTGCTGGGCTGTGCCTGGAGTGACAGAGATGAATTGGTGCTGATTTGCTTATGCCATGAGCACAGATTCCCCCATTTAAAAACAAACTAACACAGATTTTCTTTCATTCTTTTTTAGGTATAAGATAACCTTTAAGATAAAATATGTTATCCCTCTGACATCCCTCTGGATTGGGGACTGTGTGGACACAGACTTTGTAGGCCCCAATCAGGCCAGGAAATCCATTTTCCTAGGATGGCCCATGGAGAACTTCATCGCCACTTTCCGGTAATAACCAGAACTTGTTCCTTTGGTGGTACTGGTTGTGTATGGAAGGACACAATTGACATTATAATATCTAGTACACACAGACAGTTTAAATGTAAAATCTGTTCTCAGAACGTAAAAGAAAAAAACATTTTAATCTGATTGTATGAACACTGTCTCTTTATAACCTACTGTATTATTTTCTAAGAGACATTTCAACAGGCTTTCATTTTAAAATGAATCAAAAGTGGGAGCCATTTAAGGAACATCCTAAGGTATTGATCATTGGGTTTTTAGCAGACGCCAATTTCCTGGTAGCCAGACTAAAAGGGTGTGCAGCTTCTACGAAAGGAAGTGTAGGGAGGAAGGCTGTGTGACTTCTTTTCCAGAATCTTAGATAGATGATCAGGTGTTATCCTACTAGATGAATATGTTAGGTATTTTTCTTCAGTAATATTAATTATGCCAGTTAGCATAAAAATTCCTTTGATGCCACAAAATGATCAGGATCTTACTGTACTAAATTATATTTCTGTCATAAATGTCAAGAACTGCAAGTGTCTGTTTATCAAATTACGTATTTGATGACTACAGACAAGAGGTGAGACTGGCATCATTAGACTCTCAGAGGTGACTAGTTTTCTATTCTCGGGCCACCATGTAGTTAGGGACTGTCAGTGTGTCCTAGAGAGCTCTCAAGTGGCACTGACCTGAGGGACTCCCAGGGATCGTGTGGAAGCACATGCTACTCTGGACAGCCACAGCAGCTCTATATGAAACACACTAGCTACCGTATGAAAACACTCTAGCTACCATATGAAAACACACTAGCTACCATATGAAAACATACTAGCTACCATGTGAAAACACACTAGCTACTATATGAAAACACACTGGCTACCATATGAAAACACACTAAATACTATATGAAAACACACTGGCTACCATATGTAAACACACTAGCTACCACATGAAAAGTTCATCCATGAGGTCCACACTGTTCTTTCCTCCCATCAATCCTCCTCCAGACCTCAAGCCTCACCCCACAGTTCCCTCAGCTAATACAGGTGTCTTCATGCTCTGTAACATACTAAATGTGGCCACAGCCCAAGCTCATCCCAGAGTTCCCTCAGCTAACACGCATGTCTTCATGCTTTGTAACATTACTCAATATAGCCTCAGCTCATTACATAAGGAAAACATTCCCAGAGATTCTTAGGGAGAAATCCATCATTGTGTCCTTCTCTCAGTCCTTTCTATTGTATCACTGATTTGCCAGGTTATTACATTTTATGTTGATTGTCCCCTTATGTTTGACATGTGATGAAGCAGTTTAAACACATATATGTAAAGAGTTTGATGAGAAATTTCCAAGAGTTCTTCTTACACTGAGTGGTTGAACTTTAGATATGTTCTTTATATGTTAGGTTGGTTGTTCAGACCAGTTCTTAACACTGAGTATCACTCATTTGTAGCAATGCATGCCACTCAGTGAATTTCATCTCTGTTGTTATTTTCTTTATGTAACTTTGAGGGATTAGAAGTGGTATACTCATACATTAGGGGCCGTATGGATGGCTGGTAGACCTCTCTGATAAATGCATTCCCAGAATAATACAGATGGGAAATCGGGAGCACTTGAGGAGCTGTTAGTGAAGTAAGCAAGAAATATGCTTACCATTGGGAAAAAGGACAATTGAATGGTTCCACAGGAAGTCCAACCACTATTCCATGTGAGTCGGCAGCTCTGATCCTAGTTGTAGACTCGTGTAAAATGAAAACACACTACATTAAAGACTTTGCACAAAAATTTCAATAGCATAGTTCGCTACTAGCAATAGTGTAAGAAACTAAATATTCAACCATTAAATGGATAACAGAAATCAAATACTTTCAGGAAGTGTTCAATTTTATATATCTCTTGTATTATTCAATGCAAACAAGTCTTCTACCTTTGCAATCTCTTCAGTCAGCAGGAACCCACAAGGCTCAATCTCCCTTTTATCTGTGAACATCAAGCTCAGAGCAGCTGCCTCACCAGACAGAGCTCAGTTATCACAGATCACACAGCTTCAGTCAACCAAGTTCCCCACCACTGCCCACTTCTTGTCACTAGGAGGTCCTCTGTCAAAGGGCAGGTCTGTCAGGTTCCCAGATGTTTGCAGGACACTCACTTGATAACCACAGACCACAGGCTTCTAATATTGTGTCATGAAAGATACTCGACTTTATATGATTTAACTTTTTTCCATCATTATATTACAGGTCTGTGACCCAAAAAAGAGATTGGTGGTGTTTCCTTGAAAGGTAGTTTGTTGTGCATTTTTAATTCTGTAAGCAGTGATGAATGAGTAACAGTCTGTGCAACACACAAGCCTGTTCCCCTTGTTCTGATAGAGCTTTTAGTCTGTCCCTAGTCATCTTCTGGGCTAGATGGTCTGGCGACTATTGTAATTTCTCTCTTCTCTGTGTTTGAGGAAGTGTGGTGGCTGCCATTCTCATACGTTCCTCTTCTCCCTCCTTTATGTTGGAGCAAAGATTATTCCAAAAGATAATAGTACTGCTCAGACACATCACTGAAAACAAATGCTACTCCTTGTTCATAAACTCTGAAAAGAGTTGTCTTCAGTAATGCACACAGGAATGTTTGAGAACTGGCACTGTTTCCTAATTGTCAAAACCCAAGACAGCTCTGTCTTCTAGAACTTACCCTGTTATTCCAAACCGTGTTTTCCATTTGATGTACAATGATATTTCTGCTTAGTTCATCCATTTGTTTCAAACATGTTTAAGCATTGACAGACTTGGTTGATGAACAAGTTTATTTCATATCTTTGTCTTTTTCTTGAATGTGATCAGATCTATTAAACAGACAAAGGAGAAGTACCATGGGATGAGTACTGCACTGGAGATATTCACAGATGACATCCCGAGCTCGAACACTGTATGTACCTCAGACTAAAATGACGTTATAATAATGATAGATGCAGAAAAGGAAGATGAGGACAAGCAGAAGAAATTAGTGGAAGAATGGGGAGAAGTGCGATGAAAAGAGGGAGAATTAGAGAGATAAAATGGCAGGACATTGAAAGTTCAGTCAGTGCTACCAGGAAAAAAGTATTTTCCTGTATACAAATGCATCTTTGCCTGTATAAAACTACTGCTAATTAACATGAATCAAGAGTAAGTCTTGCTAGCTACATTACACAGACATAGCAAAATGGGTCATACAAAATGACAATGAACTGAGTATTGGTGGTATTCTTATATTTTTGGTTGTGAGCCTAGCCTTTAACAGCTGAGCCATCTCTCTAGCCCTGGTGGTGTTCCTATAGAACCGTTTTCCCAAGCAGGCATTTAGTTTGATGTCAGATGTTGGTTTGCTGTATATTGTTTTTAATATGTTCAGGTATGTTCCTGTTATCCCTGATCTCTCCAGGACATTTACCATGAAGGGGTGTTGGATTTTGTCAAATGCTTTTTCAGCATCTAGTGAGATGATCATGTGGTTCTTCTTTTTCAGTTTGTTTATGTGGTGGATTCTACTGATGGATTTTTATATGTTGAATCATCCCTTCATCCCTGGGATGAAGCTTACTTGATCATGGTGGATGATTTTTCTATTATGTTCTTGGATTCAATTTGTCAGTTTCTTATTGAGTATTTTTGCATCAATATTCATGAGGGGTACTGGTCTGCAGTTCTCTTTCTTAGTTATGCCTTTGTGCGGCTTGGGTACCGTGGTAATTGTAGCCTCGTAAAAAGAATTTGGCAATGTCCCTTCTGTTGTGTGGAAGAGTTTGAGGAGTGCTGGTATTATCTCTTCTTTGAATTTCTGGTAGAATTCTGCATTAAAACCATCTGGCCCTGGACTTTTTTTGGTTGGGAGACTTTTGATGACCGCTTCTATTTCATTAGGGGTTGTAGGTTTATTGAAATTGCTTATCTGTTCTTGATTTAATTTTGGTAAGTGATATGTATCCAGAAAATTGTTCATTTCCTATAAGTTTTCGAATTTTGTGGAGTACAGGTTTTCAAAGTATGATCTGATGATTCTCTGGATTTCCTCAGTGTCTGGTTGTTATGTCCCCCTTTTCATTTCTGATTTTGTTAATTTGCATGCTCTCTTTCTCTCTCTGCCCTTTGGTTAGTTTGGATAAAGGTTTGTCTATCTTGTTGATTTTCTCAAAGAACCAACTCTGTATTTCATTGATTATTTGTATTGTTTTCATTGTTTCTACTTTATTAATTTCAGCCCTCATTTGATTATTTCCTGGCATCTACTCCTCCGGGGTGACTTTGCTTCTTTTTGTTCTAGAGCTTTCAGTTGTGCTGTTAATTCTCTAGTGTGACTATTCTCCAGTGTCTTCATGTGGGCATTTAGTGCTATGAATTTTCCACTTAGCTCGGCTTTCAAAGTGTCCTATAAGTTTGGGTAGTTATGTTTCATTCTCGTTGCATTCTAAGAAGCCCTTAATTTCTTTTTTTATTTCTTTTTTGACCAGGAATGGCTCAATTGCGCATTATTGAATTTCCATGAGTTTGTAGGGTTTCTGCAGTTTGTGGTGTTGTTGAATTTTAACTTTAAACCATAGTGATCTGATAGGATACAGGGGGTAATTACAGTTTTTTCCCTATGTTGCCGTGTATGTGGTTGATTTTAGAGAAGGTTCCATGTGGCGTTGAGAAGAATGTATATTCTTTTGTGTTTGGATGGAATATTCTGTTAATCCCAATTGGGTCATAATTTCTGTTAGTTCCTTTGTTTCTTTAAGTTTCTGCCTGGTGGTCCTATCTAGTGGTGAGAGTGGGGTGTTGAAAAATCCCAATATAAGTGTGTGAGGTTTTATGTGTGATTTGAACTTTAGTAATGTTTCTTTTATGAATGCAGGTGCCTTCATATTTGGGGCATAGATGTTCAGAATTCAGACTTCACCTTGATGGACTTTTCCTGTGATCAATATGACATGACCTTCTTTATCTTTTTTGATTGATTTTAGTTTGAAGTCTAATTTGTTAGATATTATGATTGCTACATCACCTTGTTTCTTGGGTCCATTTTATTGGAAAATCTTTTCCCAACCCTTTACTTTGAGGAAACATCTGTCTTTGATATGGAGATGTGTTTCTTGAATAAAGCAGAAGGATGGGTTTTGTCTTTATATCCATTCTGTTAGCCTGTGTCTTTTTTCATAGGAAAGTTAAGGCCATTGGCATCGAGGGATATTAATGACCATGGATTGTTAATTCTTGTTTGTTTTTGATTTGGTGGTGGTGGTGGTATTGTGTGTGGATTTCCTCCCAGTTTTTCTTTAGGTGTTTAGTAAAGTGGGATTATCTATTGCCTATGTTTTTGTGAGTGTGGTTAATTTAGTTGGGTTGGAGTTTTCCTTCCAGTAATTTCTGTAGGGCTGGATTCATATTCTTTAAGTCTGGTTTTGTCATGGAATATCTTGTTTTCTCTATCTATAGTGATTGAAAATTTTGCTGGATATAGTAGTTTGAGCTGTCATCCATGTTCCCTTAGCTTTTGTAGAACATCTCTCCAGGACCTTCTGGCTTTTCAGAGTTTCTGTTTAGAAGTCGGGTGTTATTTGGATAGGTCTGTCTTTATATGTTACTTGGCTGTTTTTCTTTGCTGCTCTTAATATTTTTCTTTATTCTATAAGTTTGGTGTTTTGATTATTTGTGGCAATGGGACTTCTTTTTGTGGTCCAGTGTATTTAGTGATCTGTAAGCTTCTTGTACTTTCATAGGCATATCCTTCTTTAGGTTGGAGAATTTTCCTCTATGATTTTGATGAGTATGTTTTCTGAATCTTTGAAGTGTATTTCTTCACTTCTTTTTATACCTATTATTCTTACATGTATGTAATCTATGTAATTCTCAGACTTTTTCAGTCATCCCCAGTGTTATTTACCCCTCCTCTCTCCTTCTGCTTCTGTATCTTACCCCCAAATGTAGTATACCTTGCTCTATTTTCCCCATTCCCCCCTTCATATCACAGGTATCCTCCTGTTGTCCTCTCTAGAGCTCCTGTCATGTTCCTGTTGTCCTCTCTAGAGCTCCTGTCATGGTCCCCCTTTACTTTCCTGTTTCCTGCAGTTCCTCCAGGTCATGTATCCACATCTAAAGGTTTGGAGTCAGGAATCATAGATGAGAGAGAGCATGCAGTCTATCTTTCCAGATCTCTGTTACAGCTCTAAATATAATATTTTATGGTTTCATCTATTTGCCTTCAAATTTCAGCTTTTCTTTCATTGTTGTTGTTATTGTCTTGTTTTTCTCAAGACAGGGTTTCTCTGTCAGGTAGCCCTAACTGTCCTAGGACTTGCTCTGTAGACCAGGCTGGCCTCAAACTCAGAGATCTGCCTGCCTCCACCTGGGATTAAAGGTGTGCCCCACAGCTCCCAGACCCCAGAGTGTGTATATAGCACATTTTAATTGTTTAGTTATTAGTTGAAGGATATTTTCATTGTTTTCCATGTGTTATGACTAGGGCAGCAATGAACATGGCCAAGTAATTATCTGTGGAGTAGGATAGCAAGGTCTTTGTGTATATTCTAAGAAGTGGTACATCTTTTATGTGATACATTTATTTTTGGCTCTTTGAAAATTATCCTTACTGGCTTCCATGGCAGCTGTCCCTGTCTACAATCTCACAACAGTGAATGAGTGCTCCCATTTTCTGTTTACAGTCTCACAACAGTGAACGAGTGTTCCCATTTTCTGTTTGCAGTCTCACAGCAGTGAATGAGTGCTCCCATTTTCTGTTTGCAGTCTCACAACAGTGAATGAGTGCTACCCTTTTTCTGTTTACAGTCTCACAACAGTGTGCTCCCCTTTTTCTGTTTACAATCTCACAACAGTGTGCTCCCCTTTTTCTGTTTACAATCTCACAACAGTGTGCTCCCCTTTTTCTGTTTACAGTCTCACAACAGTGAATGAGTGCTCCCCTTTTTCTGTTTACAGTCTCACAACAGTGAATGAGTGCTCCCATTTTCTGTTTGCAATCTCACAACAGTGAATGAGTGCTCCCCTTTCTCTGTTTGCAATCTCACAACAGTCAATGAGTGCTCCCCTTTCTCTGTTTGCAATCTCACAACAGTGTGCTCCCTTTTTCTGTTTGCAATCTCACAACAGTGAATGAGTGCTCCCCTTTCTCTGTTTACAATCTCCCAACAGTGTGCTCCCTTTTTCTGTTTGCAATCTCACAACAGTGAATGAGTGCTCCCCTTTTTCTGTATACAACCTCACAACAGTGAATGAGTGCTCCCCTTTTTCTTTTTACAATCTCACAACAGTGAACAAGTGCTCCCCCTTCCCCCATCATTTCCAGCACTTGTTGTCAGTTGTTTTCTTTATTTTAGACATTCTGACCAGGTCAAAATGAAACCGCATTTGTTTTCATTTTGCATTTACCTAATTGCTAAGGGCAATGAACAAGTTTAAAGATATCCCTTAGCCATTTTTATTTCTTCTTTGGAGGCCTCTGTTCAGATGTGGAACACACCTTTCAACTGTGTCGATTGTTTTCTTGACTCTAACTATCTTCTATAACCTGGATAGTGGTCGTCTGTGAGGTGAACGCCTGGCAGCGACTCTCCCCCTTCCTCTGCTCTCTGTTGTCACACAGTGATGGATTCCTTAGCTGTACAGAGGTTTTTTTTGGTTTTTATGAGCCAGGGTTTCTTTGTATTGTTTTGGAGGCTGTCGGTCCAGCCCGGCCTCGAACTCACAGAGATCCGCCTGCCTCTGCCTCCGGAGTGCTGGGATTAAAGGCGTGTGCCACCACCGCCCGGCTGTACAGAGGTTTCTATCCACTGTTGGTCTCAGTTCCTGTGCATCTGGAGTCCTAGTCAGAAATTCCTTCCCCACACCTACATCGTGAATCACTGCCTACACTTTCTGCTACTACTTTCAGCATCTCAGGCGCCACATTGTGGTCTTCAATCCATTTGGATTTGATCCTTTGGGGAGTAATTGATCCCATCATAGTTTCTCTACTTATGGATGAGGACATCCAGCATTCTCAGCACCGTTTTGCTG